TCAAGGAGTAATCAAATTTATCATCAATATGAATGTTAAAATCAACCATAATAACTATTTTATCAAATATCGGAGATCACATATCCAAAATAGTAGAGAACAAATTGAGGCCTTGCCATTTTTGAGGAGTATTGGCATAAACTATAACTAAAGAATGAGTTAAACTAACTGCCAATATATCAAAGTAAGTTTCCAGAAGTTCAAAATGCCTTTTATCACCATAAGACCTACCCAGATCCAACAAATTTTCAGTTGGGAGTGCATAAAAATTCTAATTAACTGGTAAAGAAAGACCTATGAGGAAAATTTTCCTCAAGTGAAACAAATCAAATTTCAATCAAATCCATACATATTAAATCTGAGCTGTTAGTCAAATGACTCAACATTGAGCACTTGATAATAAAGTCATCATAATTCAAAGGACAAGGAAACAGTCCAACCCAGACTCAGTCCTTGAAAAACAATGCAAACTAGAAAATCCTACCAAGCCATCCAAAAAAATGAGGAAAATAATGTAAAACTAGGACATTGCATGACTTTGTTGAGGCAGAGCCAGAAAGAAAGCAGTGATCCTTGCACTTATTAGGCACAGAAGGGGTTGATCCTTGTTTGTTATGTTCAAGGACAGGCAAACCTTGCACTTGCTACCACAAAATAAACTATCCTTGTACATATATATGTGGTTAGAGCATTTGACACCAGGGAAAAACTTAAATATGGCATGTTTTGGATAAGCCTTTCATTAGTCTGTTAAAATTTAAAATGTATGAAATCATTATTAATAAAATGCATATTACATTTCATAATATAATTTTTCATACTTGTATGTGACAGTTTTCTATGAATTTATTACTTTGCCCATGTAACAATTTTGGAATTTTTGCACCCATCGTCATCATGGTACTGTAAGCACATACTCCCTCTGTCCCTGCCTTTCCATGACCTTGCTTATACCTGTCAGCCATGGGAGATGACAATCCTCATATGCTAGCCATGACAGATATGATCCTTGCACTGGCCAGGGTACGGAGAGATGATCCTTGCATTTGTTGACATGGAGAGGCGATTCAAGAATAAAGCAATCAATGGCGATTGCTTTGTTTCTGCGTTTTGTTTGTTTTTCACAATTTTTTTTTTGTTAGGCACACTCAATACTCCCAAATACTTTTCTCTCCCTTAAATTCTATTAGGTGTGCTCAATTACATCAGGAGTCATGGGCATTGTCACTTTGACTCCAATGTATATTGAAAATAAAGCCATGGACCCCCTGTTTTTTTACATTTAAATGGACCCTCACTACATTTTTGGATTCCTCATTGGAAAATGGCAAAGTTTCATCAAAGTCAGTCCATCAAATTTTGAGAATGAATTCAATTCTATAATCCCATAGAAGACATGCTAGTGACCTTGGGACATCATCTAACAAAGTTTCATGTTTCATTCAATATCACTTTGTCGCATGTGCTAATGCTATGATTTTGTATCTTGAAAATGAAGTCATTGACTCCCATTTTTATAAGGTTTTTGGATTCCACATTGCAGTTAATAGAAAATGGCAAAGTTTTATCAAAATGGATTGGTCAATTTTGAGATCAAATGCAATATTGTAAGCTACATGAATTGGTGGTGTATATATGAAGGCATTTCAATAAGTAACACCTTTTATTTTTTTAAACAAACATTTTAATGTGTACACAAAAACATGAATATAGTAAATAAAGTTTGAATTTCTGGCAACACTATTGCACAGTAGGAACACTTGTGTTGCCTGTCTGACAAATGGAAAGAAAAGAGCAGCAAAGCATTATTCGTTTTCTATTGGCAGAGGGCAAGAAATGTGAACAAATTCATGTGGAAATGCAGAAAGTGTATGGTGATGATTGCATGGACAATTCAAACATCCATCAATGGTGTGAAATGTTTAAAAATGATTGCTAGTGTGTGATTGATAAGCACAGCTTAGGTCATACAGTAAGTTTAGCTTTGCCTCAAACAGTTGCTGCTGTTTGAGAACAATTCAAAGTAACTGCCGCATTTGCTGAAGATGCTGTTGGGAAAATTGCTTGGAGTTCTGTTTGGTCCTTTGAAGAAATTCCTGGCTAGAGAGAAGTTTCATTCTGATGAGGAGATTAAATTGGCTGTTTGCAGATGGTTATATGGCCAGGAAACGGCATTCTACAACGCAGACATCTTCAAGCAGGGGCACTGCTGGGACAAGTGCTTGAACCTGAATAGTTATGAACCTTGAACCTTATGTCAAGAAGTAGCCTAATCCACATATTTCATTTCGTATACAGGTATACCTCGCCTTACGTCGGTAATTGGTTCCAGGAAAACGACGTAAGTCGAAAAACGACGTAAGTCGAATTTACCTGTCTCCGAATCTACTTATCACTAGGAAAGCATTTTAAATAATATATGGTTAATAAAAATCTATTTTAAGCTTACAAACAAATAAATTTTAGTTTTTAATATAGTACAAAAAAAA